CAAGCCAGTAGAATTACGTAATGTAAAAATGTAATATTTTTGTATATTCACTGCCCATTTATTCCAATTAACATTCCCAAATTTGTCTCTAAAGGATGACAGTCTACCAATGGGATCTTACACATTGCTCAGAGTCCTCTCCACCAAGCTAGTGATTTGATAGAAAACAGACCACTGTGTTTTTGACTTTTCAGTGTGAACAGACACTTGCTTTATATCCGTGCTTTATTTGCAAGGCTTCCTTTAAATATGTGGCACCTATTTTGAGAGTAAACACACTCTACTCAATGCACTTCCCAATTGATAGTCTATATAATTAATATATTAACTGTCTGGCTTAAAAAAAAAAAAAAAAGATAATTACACACAAATGCATTGATACCAAATACTTATTTGAATAATTCACACATTTTTTTTACAAGAAGCACATTTTACAAAGATTTATTCAAGTTCACAAAATGTCTAACTTTTTACCTCTGTCTGGCCCTTTGCAATTGCTGTCCTAGAGAATTATTTATAAAAATTACCCAGATTCAAACTAAACATTAAGAAACTGCATCTCATTTACTAAAACTGAAAGTGATTTACCGTAGTTAAACATGCTTCTTCTGCACATCATTTATATAAAAATATTTAGATATAAAAAAATACAATTTGTTTATCTAATTTCCTTTTGATAAATATGGCCATATATGAAATATGGCGCAAACTCTGCAGTTGGGGCAATCACTATGGCAACCAATGGAATGTTCAACTTGAGTGACCTAAACTTAGCAATTTAATGTACAATTGTTCTCACTTTGGTGTTACTATCACTGTAAGAATTTTACATACATTTTGCACAAAGTCTTGAATTCATTGAGTGAACATTATCTTTAATATGTGTATTTTATGACACTATAATTCTGATAAATAATGTGGACATGTTGCACTTTTTGGTGCTATAATATGCCCATTATTAGGAAAAAGAATTCAAGGGAATATATGCTACTGTTTACATTTAATAAATATTACACTCATTTTGCAGAATCTACTGATAAAGCTCTCTACTTGTTTTTAAATAATCGATTGATGATTATTAATATGCTTATTTTGCACAATAAAATTCTAAAAATGTATATTTAGAAAAACTGAAAGGATTACAGGTGACCCATTCACTTTGATAAATCTGATGCACATTTTGTGCTAAAATTCTGCATTCACTATACAAAGACATGTATTGATGTTTATGTATCTCTATAACTTTGGTAAATAATGTGCTATTTTTGCACACACCAGTGAGCCCATGGTAAACAAGTCTTCTAAATCTTTAAATGTTTCTGGGTTTGCACAATAGGGGTGAATAGGTGAATTATTTGCATTTACACAACGGAAAATGTCTCCAGATGAACCCCCCCAAACCTGCAGATCCGCTATCACTGATCCTTTCCTCTGGAGCAGGATCTGACCTTGAATCTAAATCTTAGACAGAAAATAACACAATAAAATTCAGCTATTTTTGGTCCCAGTAACCTTGTAGTTACGTTGAATGCTAGGAAATGGATAGAAAGGTGTTTGCCAATTAACTCAGCCTGCTGATGTGATGTCCTGCTTAGATATTAAATCAGTGCATGGCTTTAAAAATGGCAGGACATGGTTAATTGACCAGCAAATTGACTCCAACACAAGGGCTTTATTGCTGGGTGCATTGATTACCTACCACAAGTCATTTACCTACTGCTGGGGGGTCTTCTCCATGTTTGAAGAATCTGCAACATTTGGGACACAGGTTTATTAAAGTAATTAGGGTCTGTGCTCCAAGGCAGTGTGTCTGGACAACTAAGTAGCAAGAATTTAAAAATGGAGTTTAAAAATAAATAAATACAATTGTTGAATTCGACATTTTCATTTCACTAAAGTTAATTTGTCCTAAATTTTGTAGTGGAATCCCAAATAAGCAGAACTCAATGTTTAGTGGATAAACCCTTGAAGGCACGAAGAATCTATGTATGTACCTATGTGTTTAGTGACAAAATGACAACAACAAATTGGAATATTATTATAGTATTCTGATAATCTATCGATATTTACTGTCCATACAGGACATCTGTTATGAAGACAATAATATTTTCATGTGTCTATATGTGATTAATTGTACTTATATGTAAATACAGCCTTTCGATCTCAGAATAACCAACATTTTGAAAAGGGTTTAATTAAATCCACCACAATTCTAAATGAATAAACCTGGCAGAGATTGCATTATATGAAGCGTTTTATTCTTGACTTTTGGATGATAGAGGGAAAAAAACACATTAATAGTAAATAAAAACCTACAAGGATCTGCTATAAACTAAAGTAATATAATGGATTTAAAATGCAAGGGTTTTATTGCACGATTTAATCAGCGATAAAGGTCTAATAAAATCAGTTATCTTTCTACCCATTTTATACTGTTTGCACCTGTTATATTGTTTATTTCGTTTGATTGGTGCCCGAAATGAAATTAAAGTGTATAGAAGGGCAAAAAAAAATGTTATTATTTTAGATAAATATACTTTTACAGAGGGTACGAAAAAAGCAGAAAATATGGACTAAAATTCAATGTATAAAATGGCTAATTATTATTTTATTTATATTTTATTTATCAAATATTTTACCAGGAAAGATAGATTGAGATTTCTCTCGTTTTCATGTATGTCCTGGGATTAATTACATAATGTCAGTTAGAAAAATCATACCATTTTGTATCTGTTCAAAACATAGTCTGTATTATTAAATTGCACAAGAGTATTATTTACGAAAACTTTGCAGAAACTGTAAATTCTATTCTTTTTGGGGCTGTAATAAACGACATTATTAAAACTGAACTGGTTTTAATATTTCACGATGTGCATTTAAAAAAACAATCGCATAAAAGACAAGAACTGATTTTTTTTTAATTGAAAAAACAAACTGTAATCATTGTGAATGATAGATTTTTAATATTTTTACTTTTATGGTGAGAGGTGAGTTTTAAACAATTAGAATTTGTTATTTTTTTTCCTTTAATTCATTCAGTTCAGTTGCAATGTCATAATTCAAGAAAAATTATTTTTAGAAATGTTGCTTTTTTGTGCAAAATTTCGAAGATTAAAACAACGATAAAATTCGGTTAATTATTTCAGTTTTCGGTCAACTTAACTAAATAGCATTTTTTAAAATAACTTATAGAAATGTATTTTATATGCACTTTGATATAGTGTGCTATTGTACCCTGTCATATAAAATATACACAATGATACATATTGAAGGAAGAACTGAGACATAAAATCAGGTTTTGTTTTATTTTACAAGATTATAAAAATTCTCACAAATGATCTATCATAACATAAAGCAAGTTCTTCAGAATAAAAAAGATAAAATAAAAACGTTTGACCCCAAATGTTACTCCTCAGATTGTAGCTGTTTTTTTAAATCCTGAAATGAGCGAATTAATTATGATACTGTGTGATTTCTCATTATCACCATAGACAATGTCACCTTATCAAGGTCTACATACCTTATGGAAGACACAATATCTGCCAATGTCAGACATACTGAGGATATTATGGTATTAGTGGGGATAATGTACAAAAATGGTACTTTGCATCCGTTTAGAAAGGGCTTATTTACTAAACTTCCAAATGTAGCGAATTGAAATGCGAATGACAGCATTTAGGGTAAATTCTACAACTCATTTATAATCACTAAACAGCGAATTAACCCCTAAGACTGTTTCAAACTGTTGCAAAAGCAATAATTTAATTATTATTATTTTTTTTCTGTACCGTGTGAAAGTCTTTAAAAAGAGAAAGAAGTCACGTTAAGTGATAGGGGAGAGGTGAAAGTTCATCAGCGTTTAATGTGGATTTAAGGGCTGCCAATCTAGGTAATAGATGGCCCTCTGGTAATAGGTGACAGCCCATCATTGCTGCAGTCCTGGTCTGGGGATACAGCTGGGCTCTGCAGGAATAGTGCTACCTGTCAGCCTGTCCTGAAGGAACCAGGATTACATTAATTTTATCTGACAATTATCTAATGTTCCATAGAGCTGCAACACAATAATGGCATATAATATAACTCAAATATAATATATATAACATGTATATAAAACCTATCTGTTAGGTTGTGTATTTTACACAGTATTAACTGTCTGTCTGTCTATCTATCTATCTATCTATTTTGCAGAAATTCCATGTATTAACACACACCATTCACTGACTGTTGTGTCTAAGGCATTGTATAACTGTATATGCAGCATACAATTTAATATCATATAATACAATGTAATATCATATAATACAATGTGATAGCATATAATACAATGTAATATCATATCATATAATACAATGTAATATCATATACTACAATGTGATATCATATAATACAATGTAATATTATATCATATAATACAATGTAATATCATATACTACAATGTGATATCATATAATACAATGTAATATCATATCATATAATACAATGTAATATCATATACTACAATGTGATATCATATAATACAATGTAATATCATATCATATAATACAATGTGATATCATATAATACAATGTGATATCATATAATACAATGTAATATCATATCATATAATACAATGTAATATCATATCATATAATACAATGTAATATCATATAATACAATGTATCTATATAGCATACATCATACTGCACTGTTCCATATTGTCTGTATATTGATTTGTACATTGAAGACACAGACAGACAGACAGATATCTCTATGTGTGATTAAAGACCCCATTCCCTCCTATTGTGACAGGTTCTATACTCACCCATCTCCTGTTCCCATCGTCCTTAGACCAATATGCAGATGAGTGCATGCTATGTTGTATCCCTGGCTTGCGTCACTTGTAGGTTTGCCTGTGGCTGGGTTCATGCAGAGTTCTGCTCCCAGTGATGTGAGACAGGGACTGTGTGTATGAATGGGAGATCAGATTTGGGACTCCTCCCACAGAGAAACCCCTATTAGAGGATTAGGAACCTGGGCTGCAGGAGACACAAGGCTACAGACAGCTCCCACACACCACAGCTCCTCACTAGGACCCAGAGCTGTATCTAGGACCAAGAGGGCATCACTGAGCTGGTATTGACTGACACCTACACAGTGCTTTCAGTACCCAGTGGGCATCACTGAGCTGGTACTGACTGACACCTACACAGTGTATCCATGACCCAGTGGGCATCACTGAGTTGGTACTGATACTAACACAGTGTATGCAGGACAGAGTGGGCATCACTGAGCTGGTACTGACTGGCACCTACACAGTGTATCCAGGACCCAGCGGGCAACAATAAGCAGGTAATGACTGGCACCTACACTATTTACCCAGGACCACGTGGGCATCAATGAGCAGGTTCTGGAGCTTACAATATTTGCCCAGGACCCAGAGGGCATCATTGAGCAGATACTGACATCTACCCAGTTAACGCAGGACCCAGTTGGCATAATTGACTGCCACCTACAGACTGCACCCAGGACACTTGGTTGAGATATCTGAGCAGGACCAGAAAGCCTCCAGAAATTGGCACAGAGGTACCTGCCCGTTCACTGTCTGTATTTTGGAGAGCTGAAGGTTGGATCCCCTCAGCAGCCTGTTCATTGAGCCCATGGGGTCTGATGTTCGGGACATGAATGGTCTTCTCCCCCCGGTGTCCTCCCTGTCCGGGAACACTAGCTGTAACATGCCAGTGGGCAGCGCTGGGCAGTGGGCACCAGTCCTGGACTTCCCCCCCGGGGCCCCTTACAGCTCGCTGGCCCCTCACTCCTTCATTAAACAGGAGCCCAGCTGGACCCCCGACCCTCATGAGGACCAGTGTCTGAGCGCCTTCACCGTGCACTTCTCTGGACAGTTCACTGGCACCGCGGGGGCATGCAGGTATGGGCCCTTCGGCGCCCCAGCCCCCAGTCAGGCGCCCCCCAGCCAACCAAGGATGTTCACCAACACCCCCTATCTCTCCAACTGCCTGGAAAACCAGCAAGGGATCAGAAACCAAGGTAGGTCACCCTAAGCACCAACCTACCTTATATACATAGCTACCTTACTATCCTATCCTAACCTAACACAACTTACCTTACCCAACCTACCTCACCCAAACTATCTTACCGAAACTATCTTACCATACCGACCTAATTCAACCTACCTCACCAACCTACCTCACCCAAACTATCTTACCATACCGACCTCATCCAACCTACCTCACCAACCTACCTAACCCAAACGATCTTACCAAAACTATCTTACCATACCGACCTCATCCAACCTGCCTTACCATACCTACCTTAGCATACCGACCTTATCATACCTACCATATCACACTTACCATACCTACCTTATCATATCTATCTCATCCAACCTACTTTACCACACTATTAGCCTACAAACATAGACCCACACTACCCATAATATACCCCATGTACCCTCTGCTACAACATTAACATCAGTACACCTTCCCAAACCAGAGTTTACTTAACAGGATCTCACTGCCCAAAATAGAGCTCTGTACCCCATCTCCTATTATCAGCTTCACATTAGCCGGGTCACTTATAGGAACCACACCCTGCAAAATACCCCCTATATAACATATACAACTGTATGCACCCCTGCTATAACAGTATCATATTATATACAGTGTCTAACTAGACTCTATCTTAGCCAGTTATTTCATTTCCTCACTCAGCCCCTATATACGATGTACCCCTATATGAATACACCCCTATATGAATACACCCCTATATGAATACACCCCTATATAAATATACCCCTATATTGGGGGATATTTATATAATGAGAGGCTGTTGTCATTGAATCGAATGACAACCGCCTCTCATTATATCCACCAAACCATAGCTTTCTATAACAGGACCTCACTGTTAATATACCCACTGTATTCCCTCTGCTACAATGTTAACAAGACTTCCATAGCTTTCATTTAATAGGTATTATTATATACATAGGTGTTATATTATACACATTGGTATTATATACATAGGTATTATATTATATACATAGGTGTTATATTATAAACATAGGTGTTATATTATATACATAGGTGTTATATTATATACATTGGTATTATATTATATACATAGGTATTATATTATATACATTGGTGTTATATTATATACATTGGTATTATATTATATACATAGGTGTTATATTATATACATAGGTGTTATATTATATACATAGGTGTTATATTATATACATTGGTATTATATTATATACATAGGTGTTATATTATATACATTGGTATTATATTATATACATAGGTGTTATATTATATACATTGGTATTATATTATATACATAGGTGTTATATTATATACATTGGTATTATATTATATACATTGGTGTTATATTATATACATTGGTATTATATTATATACATTGGTGTTATATTATATACATTGGTATTATATTATATACATAGGTATTATATTATATACATAGGTGTTATATTATATACATAGGTGTTATATTATATACATTGGTGTTATATTATATACATTGGTATTATATTATATACATAGGTATTATATTATATACATAGGTGTTATATTATATACATAGGTGTTATATTATATACATTGGTATTATATTATATACATAGGTGTTATATTATATACATAGGTGTTATATTATATACATTGGTGTTATATTATATACATTGGTGTTATATTATATACATAGGTATTATATTATATACATTGGTATTATATTATATACATTGGTGTTATATTATATACATAGGTGTTATATTATATACATAGGTGTTATATTATATACATAGGTGTTATATTATATACATTGGTGTTATATTATATACATTGGTGTTATATTATATACATTGGTATTATATTATATACATTGGTGTTATATTATATACATAGGTGTTATATTATATACATAGGTATTATATTATATACATAGGTGTTATATTATATACATAGGTGTTATATTATACATTGGTTATATTATATACATTGGTATTATATTATATACATAGGTGTTATATTATATACATAGGTGTTATATTATATACATGGGTGTTATATTATATACATTGGTATTATATTATATACATAGGTGTTATATTATATACATAGGTGTTATATTATACATGGGGTGTTATATTATATATGGGTGTTATATTATATACATTGGTGTTATATTATATACATTGGTGTTATATTATATACATTGGTATTATATTATATACATTGGTGTTATATTATATACATTGGTATTATATTATATACATAGGTATTATATTATATACATAGGTGTTATATTATATACATAGGTGTTATATTATATACATTGGTGTTATATTATATACATTGGTATTATATTATATACATAGGTATTATATTATATACATAGGTGTTATATTATATACATAGGTGTTATATTATATACATTGGTATTATATTATATACATAGGTGTTATATTATATACATAGGTGTTATATTATATACATTGGTGTTATATTATATACATTGGTGTTATATTATATACATAGGTATTATATTATATACATTGGTATTATATTATATACATTGGTGTTATATTATATACATAGGTGTTATATTATATACATAGGTGTTATATTATATACATAGGTGTTATATTATATACATTGGTGTTATATTATATACATTGGTGTTATATTATATACATTGGTATTATATTATATACATTGGTGTTATATTATATACATTGGTATTATATTATATACATAGGTATTATATTATATACATAGGTGTTATATTATATACATAGGTGTTATATTATATACATTGGTGTTATATTATATACATTGGTATTATATTATATACATAGGTATTATATTATATACATAGGTGTTATATTATATACATAGGTGTTATATTATATACATTGGTATTATATTATATACATAGGTGTTATATTATATACATAGGTGTTATATTATATACATTGGTGTTATATTATATACATTGGTGTTATATTATATACATAGGTATTATATTATATACATTGGTATTATATTATATACATTGGTGTTATATTATATACATAGGTGTTATATTATATACATAGGTGTTATATTATATACATTGGTATTATATTATATACCTTGGTGGATATTACAGTTACAAGTCTCAGGAATTCACTTTGCTCATAGAAGTACATTTTGTATATTTTTGTCTCTGTTAATGATCTTTTTCTGCTTTGCTCAGCTAGTCAGATGTGAATGTTCTGTTCAATGTTATTACACGATATTACATCACATGCTAAACACAGAATTGCAGAAAAATAACCGAATTGCAATATGGAAGCAAAAAGTGCAAATTTTCACAAAATCCACACCTCACCACAGTCCATTATTTAGTGACTAGCCCTCCTGACAGACTATATTAAGGTCAGGAAGCCTGATCACAGTTCAAGTTCATCAGCAATGCCTACAGCCAGATTCACAGGGTTATTCAATAAAGTGAGAATTCGAGGTGAATTTCAAATGTTAGCCATATTTAACTAATTGACAGTATAGCTGACTTAGGGAATTTGTCCAGGTTGGTTATATTGACATTAAATTTGGAATTCACTATGAATTAATTTTGAATTCTCACGTTTGTGAATACTGCGAGGAATAGGGCAGTTTATTGATTTCTGTCAATAATAGTGATGCCTATCGTTCTTAGTATATCCTTACAGAGTCATAGCTAAATTCAGATGACCAGCTCTTATTCCTGGATTCATAAAATAGGATGCTACAAAATGACTATAATCTCACAGAGGGAACATTCAGTCCATTACACCCCAGACTTAATGGGGTTACCCTTGTGTTATAAAAAAGAATATTATGTATGTATGTGTGTGAATTTATGGGAATTACCATCCAAAGACACTATAAAAAAAACATAAACACTCCTATACTATAAACAAATGCATATAACAGACACACACAGGCTAAATACAATACAAACATACACACACACAGTGTAGAGAACACTGCGTTAAACCAATTAGAGAATTCAAGTATTCCAATCTATATAGGTTTTCAATCTATACAATTTGTACTAAGCTACAAGCTCACTTACTTTTATAAGGGGTTTAATATACCATGCCCTGTTTGTAATAATTTGCCGCTGTAATAAAATACTACTTTTAAATGCCTGCCATGGTTATCATAGTGTAGTGCAATATTTGAAGCTGATGTTATAAATCTCATATAATATAATCATGCTTTAAAATATAGAAACAAAAACCATATTTATCCCCCTGATTTGATACTGTCTTTAATATCTAAAATCTGAAAAACCTAATACTTGTTTAAACTGTGCATTTAACAGGAAAAACAAAAAAATAATGAAAATTCTAAAACATAGAATTATTTTAGAATTATTTAGCACATTCTATGCTGGAATTGTTCTGATATACACCTACAAGACACTTCTGATCTCACACAGATGGTATTTCTCTGCAAAGCAATTTATTTCCACAGACCAAACGCAAGATTAATCATTATTTTAAAATAAATATATTCTTCTGCAATTCCAGTGAGTGATTTAAAATATCTATTTTGCGGTTTGTAATTTTAATATACTATTTTAATGTACTACATTTAATTGCATTGCTCCCTTATTGTAAAAATGGCAACATGTAAATAAAGGAATATTATTTGTTATATATGTCTCCAAAGAGGTAAAACTACAGAAACATCTTAAATCTGTTCATGCTCTGCACATTTTTATCAGTGATTTAAAATATGGACTAAGTAGAATTGTAGAATAAACTGACAACTAAGTTAATAAGTTAAATTTAAATTGTCAAAAATAAGATATATTTAAAATCGCATGGACAAAAAAATAGCTGGCTTTGGTAAAAATAAATAAATTATACATTTATACACACACACATTATAACTAACTAAATAAATATACATATAAATGTATCTGTATTAATTCCTACATTCTCTCACATATTTGGAACCTAAGAATGTAATAAATATTAAAGTGTAATAATATGTATTTATTGGAAAACATCAAAGTTGATTTTTGTTTATATATATATATATTTTTTTTTTTATCGTGGGAAATATGTCACCTTGGTCTTAAAAATTCTTCTTTTTTGCCAAGTGTTGAATATTGTTGCTTTTTAAAAAAAGTATTATTTTTCAGTTCTTTGTTCTGTCATTTAAACATGTTAAGGAAATATTTTAGTGGCCAGCAGCAGATGTTGAATATTCACGTTTTCAGCACTTTATAATCTGCCTCTCTGTGATAAGGACCTAATTAAAGAAAACTTGGTATTAAGAGATTGGTTCAGAGCAGAATGTTCTTATCAAATTCCTAAAGGTTTGGGTCAGGCAAGATCAGGAATGTGGGCAAGCCATCACTCTGCTTTTTAGTGAAGTTGTCAAGGTCACAAGTAATCTGCACCCAGTTACATAGCAAAACGTATTCTATATTCTAAAATGCAAATTAATGGCTTTTTACACATAAAAAAGCAAAAAAATAAAATAAAATAAATAAGAAAGTAAAAATTAGCCAGCTTTATAATTTAAGAGCAGGGTATTTTTTTTCTCTCTCAAGACTCTCTTACTTTTATATATATATATATATATATATATATATATATATATATATATATATATATATATATATATATATATATATATATATATATACATATTTTCTACAGATTTGAACATAAAATATTATTTTTTTTTTCTTATTGTGTTTTGAATAATCAACATTCTAAATTATGAAATCACAGGGGAATATTTTCAATAGACTCTTAAACAAAACTATAGGACTGTAAAAATGATACATTGTGTTATATTACTTGTGATATGCAAATATTATTCTAATTTCAGTCTTTGGTAATGGGACTTCTAACTTTGTTATGAGACATTGTATAAATATTTAACATATTTTTATACGCAGCTTTATTGACAAACTGGCTAGTTTCACACACAAGGACCTCATACATCAAATAATACCATAAGTACAACCTTATTTTAATAACTGATTGATTTAATTACAAAATCGATTCACGTGTCACTGCAATGTAGCTGGGCCTTTTTTTAAAATCATATTTTGACAGCTCATTACTTTGATCATTTGATCACTGAGAATAAAAGCTCAGTTTTATCTTTAAACAATTTCATTTTGACATTTTAGAATGATACAGAAATTATAAAAGGCTGATTGTTTAAAATTCAGTCCACAAAGTTATTAACATTGTAAAACATGATTAAAAAAGGGGGTCTGTACACTGCGAACAGCTGAAAAATCAGCCTCAATATTTGGGCTCAGTTTCCTGAGAATATTTGTTCTCATCACAACGCACTGTTTAGTCAGCAAACCCCTACAATTCTCAAACAATAAGCAGGCTGATGACAAGTAGGATAATCCTGACTGATGACAAGTAGGATAATTAAAATAGGTAAATTGGGAGCATGTTTAACAAGGCTAAATGCATCAGAATGTTATATTGTAACACATTCAGCAGGTTCGAGTAAATTCCAAAGAAAATATATCATGGATTGTCCTAAAATTTAGATATTTTGCTGTTGATTTGGCAACAACCATTACTTGAGCAGGTGAATCCTAGCATGAGAGGCCTATTGACTTCTGAAATCTTATAACATATGCATAGGGCAGGGTTGTATAGAAACTAATTGCTACCCTGCTTAATGATTTATTTATTTTTTAAATCTTTGTGTCATTGCCCAGGTTACTTCAGCTTCCTTTTAAATAAAAAAAAGAGGTAATTCCTAAAATATTTTTGTTCTAAAAGCCCCCCTGAATTACATAGATACAAATAAACAATTCAGCATAGAAATCTGTAGTATAGAAATGCATTAATATCTGCATTGCCTGTTTAGCTTAGTCACCTAAGTCAGATTTTGAAGTTCCAAAACATATAAAATTTTTAAAAATGTATTTACTAAACCAGGCACTGTAATGCATTCACAAGAGAATTGAACATTTTGGGGCAAAATGACTGATTTACATAAAGTATCCAACTTAGCTGTTTTGTTGTAATAATTTGCAATTTCCTGATCAGATTGTTACAACTCCTTGTGCTGTCACTGTTTGATACCATGTCTCCAGGGAGAACCGAACTAGGCCAGAGTTCAATCCAGGCCATTGGCTGGAGTTATTTACTAAATTGTAGGGAATTCAAAGAGATTTTAAAGGTACAGGCCAAAATAGCGGATGGAAATCATAGCTGGAGAACTTCTCCAGTTTGTTTAATTTGGTCTAAAATTTTAGATTCACTTTGGATTCCAGTCATTGAACCGTTTAGTAAATGGCCCTGTTTATTAATAAGCATTTAGTAATTCTGACAATTACTTTAAAATATTAACTCAAAAGTCAAACTGTTAATTATTAATTTCTGAGGACATCAAATCGACAATAATGTAATTTTAGTTAACTTTTAATTAATAAATGTTAGCGAGTAAAGTCCTATTTTATTCTATATAACAGAAGACAACAGTTGCACAACAAACGCTACAAAGGTTGTTGACAATGAATTCTACTCCTGACAATGTGTCATTTTCTTTAAATGTTACAAATGAAAAATAACAGAATTTGCTCAAGTTGTCAACAGAAGGACAAATAAAAATACTACTTTGTAATTACTGGGGTTTGTTTTACTGACTGGCCGTAATTAAAGAACATGCCAGTCCCATTGCTTGATTAATGGGATAATGTCAATCCTGGGTCAGCACAAGGGCTGACTCAAGTTGTTTGGTAAAAATATTGAGAATTCTTTTTGTGTCAGTTGTACTTTTCCATTCAGTGTAGATGTTATTCATACCCACAGTTCTATTAGCCAGTCTTTAAGGGGAGTTAACAAACCTGACATAATTGAGCTAGTATCGCTTTAATCAGAAGATCCACTTGTTGTTAGATTGTGGATTTTTTTTCTCCCAAAAATCGTAGCTAATTAAATCAATAAGTGATAAAATTCACATTTTCATATCTACTACAATGTTAAATGATATTGATGAAGTATGCATTTTCAGGAAAAAAAAAACTGTTGAACAGATGATTCAATGTTACAGTCAAGCACCAAAGTCATGCAGAGTTTTATTTTAGTAAATTGTAAATTTTTTAAAACTCATAGTGATTTCAAAGTGCATTTAAGATTTTAGAGCGAAATGGAGAATTTATTCAGACATAATTTTTTATTGTGGGCTAAAATGTAAAATTGACTTTGAATTCCTGACAAATGGCAGCTAAGTGAATAACCCAGTAATAATTGCTTTTAAATTTGGAGTGAGTAGTACATACACAGAGTAGGCGTTCAGAGGAGGTGGTAGGAATAGTGCACTGAAATATAATCACTGGGATGGATAGTAGATAATACTCTTATATATTATAGTAATGTTTCTAAATGTTTGCAACAGATTGGGTTTTATCTGTAGACACAATCTCTGCTTAAATAGAAACATTCAAACTGTTCATCAGTGAAGCTAAGATTGCATGGATTATGAGTATGTACCACCAAATGATAGGGTGAGTGTGGAATACAGTTGTCAACCAACGTGACTTACAAAGGGTTATTTACTAAGGTAAGAATTCAATGTTAATTTAATCACAGCTGACTTCAAGTATCTCTCCAGTTCCAGTGTTTCACAGTTACTCTATGCCCTTAATTTATACTCAAATCATTTTTTACTAAACCAGGATTTGTGGCGGGCTGTCAAGAGAATTGCAAATTCCAGGAACAGCCAGGTTGAAAAATAGATGTTTTTTCCAATTTGTCAGATTCAAATATGCCAAATATTCCATTTTCAATTTTCCTCAATTTGCAAATTCAATGAATGACTATGTATCCCAAGAGATACGAGACAGATCTGAACATATATTAAACTATCACAGGCCTCGTGTGATTTGGGAGAACCGATAAGGGTACCATGCGTTATCACGTCAAAATCAAATATATTATTCAGAATATACACAGAAACCATAATTATCTATTTATTTTTATATAGTTATACATGCTTTAACTGTAAGCACAGCTATTTTACAATTTAAGAACCAATAAGGATGCAAACCTACATTATTTATTATTATTATTATTATCGCCATTTATATAGTGCCAACAGATTCCGTAGCGCTTTACAATATTATGAGAACATATTCATTTACCCCTTAAGGACACATGACGGAAATATTCCGTCACGATTCTCTTTTATTCCAGAAGTTGTGTCCTTAAGGGGTTAAGGAGTATAATCCAAAATGGAATGTGCCACTCAGTTAATGACTGTACAACTACATGGTCTGCCAAGGCCCAACGAGCAGGTAATATTTTAGGGCAAAATGTAAGATATGGTCTTCTTGTTACACATTGCTATCAACCTGCACTGACACCCTGCATAGCTTTACTGCTGAGTGATATGTATGGACAGGGCCGCCATCAGGATGTGACATCCGTAATGGTTGTCACGGTGGGGCCGGTGGTCTTGGGGTGCCCGGCTTGCTTGCCGAGACAAAGTCTCCCTCTTATCTTGTAATCCGCCCAGGGCTGCCATCAGTGGGAGTATATCTGTATGGGGCCCCTATACACCTAATGTGCATATATATTTAGTGAGTACCCTGCTTGCTTTTATAATAAAGATGGGACCCAGGAGAGCCTGTGCTCCACATCCAGTTGTGTCCTCTCACGAGCGGTGAGACCATTGTGGTGGGTTGCCATGGCAATGCTCTGTGCGGCACGCAACGTAACGAGAAGGAGAGCCCCTGCTGCCTGGCTGCCGGGGGTGGAAGATGGGGACGCCTGGACCCCCTCTTTAGTTTACAACTAGCTGTGCCACTGGTGAACCTAGTGTCCCCTCTTCCCGCCCACAGGTAAAGAGCCAGGGGGAGGGGGGGAAACTTTGGATATTATAAATTTTTAAAAAACTGCTCAACCCCCCCAGAGCCCTTATCCAACATCACAAATACAGACACTGTATCCACTACACAAATATAGATACTGCATCCTTTACACACACTGCATCCACTACACAAACACAGACATTGTAACCACTACACAAACACAGACACTGTATCCACTACACAAACATAGATGCTGTATCCACTACACAAATATAGGTACTGCATTCATTACACATACAACATACACTGCGCAAACACAGACACTGCATGCACTACACAAACACAGACACTGCAACCACTACACAAACACAGGCACTGTATCCATTACACAAACATAGATGCTGTATCCACTACACAAATATAGATACTGCATCCATTACACATACTACATACACTGTGCAAACACAGACACTGCATCCACTACACAAACACAGACACTGTATCCACTACACAAACATAGATACTGCATCCATTACACACACTGTCCACTACACAAACACAGCCACTGCAGCCACTACACAAACACAGACAATGTTTCCACTACACAAACATAGATACTGCATCCATTACACATACTGCATCCACCACACAAACATAGACACTACACCTACTACACAAATACAGACACTGTATCCACTACACAAACACAGACACTGCAACCACTGCACAAACACAGACACTGTATCCACTACACAAACATAGATACTGCATCCATTACACACACTGTCCACTACACAAACACAGCCACTGCAGCCACTACACAAACACAGACAATGTTTCCACTACACAAACATAGATACTGCATCCATTACACATACTGCATCCACCACACAAACATAGACACTACACCTACTACACAAATACAGACACTGTATCCACTACACAAACACAGACACTGCAACCACTGCACAAACACAGACACTGTATCCACTACACAAACATAGATACAGCATCCACTACACACACTGCATCCACTACACAAACACAGACACTGTATCCACTACACACACATAGATACTGCATCCACTACACACACTGCATCCACTACATAAACACAGACACTGTATCCACTACACACACATAGATACTGCATCCATTGCACATACCGTATCCACTACACAAACACAGACACTGTACCCACTACACAAAGACATCCACTGCATCCACTACACACACTGCATCCACTACACAAACACAGACACTGTCTCCACTACACAAACATAGATACTGTATCCATTGCACATACTGTATAAACTACACAAACATAGATACTGCATCCATTGCACATACCGTATCCACTACACAAACACAGACACTGTACCCACTACACAAAGACATACACTGCATCCACTACACACACTGCATCCATTATACTGCATCCACCTTCCTCACACACTCTCTCTGCATCCACTATAGACATACACACATCCAATATACACGCACTCACTACATCCACTATAAACTCACACTCTGCATCCACTATAAACACATGCATTGACTTTACTTATACTTGTGAGCAGACTTGGGGTCTAGCCCAGGCCTTTAGCTGTGCATGGAGCCCCACAATTTCGAATGACAGGCCCTGTGTACAGGAACAGTGGAATCTGGAAATGTGATTTGTAAAATTGAGCAAACTGATGCAGCAACCTTCATTTTAAACTTTTAATTCAGGGGGGATTCAACATATTACAGAAAAGTACCCTCTTACTCAAAAGGTCAAGGAGCAGACAGTACAGCAATAGTTCTTTCTATATTTACGAAAGTATGAGAAGATTGTTAGAAAATATTTTATAGAATGAACAAACGTTTGGACATTGGCATTAATGGAACATACATCAGTAATCATGAATGTAAGAAGCATCCAAAATAAAGTCATGAGGATTAATAAATGTATACATCATGCCAATAATTACTTGTGATTACTTGGTTCAAACTAAGGCTTGGAGAAAACACAGACTTTATACTTGCAGGAAATTTTACCCACCCCGGTTAACCTGTGATGCTCCTGTTTCTTTTTAGGAGACTTAGAGGAACATGATGTATTGAAGGTTAATAGGATTTAAACACATATCAATTTCCCCCCCAGCAAATAATTAAGATATATTGACAAAAAAGGAGCAGATTTCTACTTTAATTTAAGTGTAAGACACATGCAGGGAGGTGTGCGTAGGGCTGTATAAACAAAGTGATTAAACTCCTAAATGGCAGAGAATTGAGCGGTGAGACTGAACAGACATGACGTATACACCAAAACTGCTTCATTAACCTAAAGTTGTTTTGTTGACACTAGTGATATTCAAATTTTAAGCCGCATATGCCCTCCTATCTTTCAACCATATTTATCAGTGCTCTCTCTCACCCTCTCCTCAAGGCACACCTAACAGTACAGGATTTAGGGATTACCAAGGTGTAAGGTTTAGAGTCCAAGATGTTTTTATAAAAAAAAAAAAAAAATGTTTTTATTACATTAGACACACCTGGGTAATCCCTAAATCCTGGACTGTTAGGTGTGCCTTCAGGAGAGGGTTAAAGAGCACGGCCCAAGCTTAGAACATGGCAGGAAGTTTAATTTGTGAAGCCTTTTCTGATTTCCTTTAAATATAATTTTCATACAGTTTTTAAATGTCTGCTAAATGCTTTTCAGATAAATTACCTCTGGATGTCCCTTGTGAAAGAGGACCCAATTAGGAAATGCATGTTCCAGGGTAATCCCTTCCATTATGTTCCACTCTCATTGATATGTACGTCTGGTCACCCTCCAGTAAATCTGTGTACATAGTTATAATGGGTTTACTGATGGAATTGTTGACACATTTGATGTGACAGTGATACTTTCTTCTTTTGAAAGGTTATAGCGCAGTGACTTTTGATGGCACTCCAAGTTATGGACATACTCCGACTCACCATACACCACAGTTCACAAACCACTCCTTCAAGCACGAAGATGCGATTGGTCAGCAGACATCATTAGGTAACTAAATAACATTAATGTCTTTGTTACAAACACTTAAAAACGTAATGTAATAAGGTGGATATCAGAGGCTTCCGAGGTCTAAAGCTGAGGACACGCCGTGTTTTTTTTCATGAAGCATAACCTAAAAACTTGCAATCATTTTAGATTTTCAAATAATTTGTTGCTTTGTAAATGTTGGGTACAAATGTAAGTAAAGATTTTACTATCTTTATTTTCTTTTAATAGTTTAAAATGTCTTAACTGTTAATTATCCAACTGTTTGGGGTTTTGACATGCCAAGTTATATATTATCACATTATATGTGTCGGAACTTACATGATATTTTAGTTGTTTTGTTAGGCAACTGCATTCGATTATCAATTTTATTCCTCTTTCATTTCTATCATCATAACTGAATTCCTTCCGTGCTCCTTGCCTCCTCCTATCCATTCTCTTCACTTTCACTTCCTGTCTTTCCCTTCCTTTCCTTTATTTTCCTTTCTTATCCTTCACTCTCCCCCACTTTACTTTATTTTCCTTCACTTCCCTTTCTTTCTCTTCACTACCCTCTCCTTACCTTGATCTTCCCTTCTTTCACTTCACTTCCACCCTTTCCTTTCTTTTCCTTAACTTCCCCCTTCCTTTATATTCCATTCTTTCCCCTCACTTCCCTCCCCTTTCTTTTATTTTCTTGTAATTTCCTTCACATCCCACTCCTTTCCTTTATTTTCCTTTCTCCCCCTTCACCCCTTCTTCATTTTCATTTCCTTAACTTTACCCCTCCTTCATTCTCCTTTCTTTCCCTTCACTTCCCTCCCATTTCCTTAATTTTCCTTTCTTTTCCTTCATATCCCACTCCTTTCCTTCATTTGCTTTCTTTCTCTCCACTACCCTCCCCTCCCTTTCCCTTATTTTCCTTTCTTTCCCTTCACATCCTACTCCTTTCCTTTATTTCCCTTTCGTTCCCTTCACTTCCCTCCTCTTTCCTTCATTTTCCTTTCTTTTCCTTCACATCCCACTCCTTTCCCTTATTTTCCTTTCTTTACTTTCACATCCTACTCATTTCCTTTATTTTCCATTCTTTCCCTTCACTTCCATCTCTTTCCTTCAATTCCTTCCTTTCCTTCACATCCCACTCCTTTCCTTTATTTTCCTTTATTTTATTTTCCGTCCCTTTCCTCTATTTTCCATCACAATCTTTTCCTTTTCTTTTGTTATCATTTCCTTTCTTTCCTTTGCCTAAGTTCCTATTTTTCCATTTCTATACCTTTTTGTTTTCCTCTTTTCCGGTCACTTCCTTCCCTCTCTCCATTACTTACTACCATTCCTCCTCCCATCATGTCTTCCCCTTCTCTTTTATTCTTTCACTAATATAATTAAGAGAACTATTTATATTATACTTGTGGAAATATGCCTGTCTGTACTTGCTCTCTGCATGTTAATGTAATTTATCTTTCCATGAATCAAAATCTATTTTAATTAAAAAATTTTTTCTTAGAACAATCTAAATACAAACAACAATTGTCTCTGGTGCAATACAAAAACACCATAGATCACATTTATTAAACGCTGAAATGGCATCTGTAATCTTAATTCTTTGTAAGGGACAGGCTATAAATCAAGTGTGAGTAGCCTGATCTCTGCCTGTGGTTTGAGTTTGGAATTAGACTACGATGTAGGGTTGAAAATGATGAGTGAAATGATGGTTGGTTAACTTTGGCTTCCACACAGGAGATCAACAATATTCCGTGCCTCCACCAGTGTATGGATGCCATACCCCGACAGATAGCTGTACTGGGAGTCAAGCACTTCTTCTGAGGACCCCATATAACAGGTACACTGGAAATGACTCATTCATGGACTTTGCTATTAATAAAAAAAATATGTACATGATACACAGAATAATAAAATGTTACAGGCCACCAACACGATGATTTATATCAATAAATGCATCTAGATCTCTTTATTTACAGATCAACTTATGCTGTTTTTTTACTTCACCAAGCAAAATCGATAGAGATTTTGTGGTTTAAAAATCAGGGAATAAGCTGAATTTAGTGGCGTTCCAGGCAAATCTTGCATAATTAATACATTTCTTGTCTTGAACTCACCTTGGAAGGCTTTTAGAACCAATCTGCTTCTACCAAAATAAATGATTAGCCTAAAATTGAGGAGTTACCATGAAAATCCCATGGGGACTAGCTAAGATGGTGTCTTTCACTGGCCTATCGATACAGTGACCTTCCGAAATAAGTATTAATTATTACCATAAACTGTAAATACAGTTAAAATTGTTTCTTTAGCGAAATTCCCACTCATTCACTAGCCATTGACAAGTGAAAATTCAGCCCTGGCGAATGCCATAGTCCCTCCAGTCTTGCCGTGATGGCAATTTTTAAACTTTAACCTGACATTTTGAGCCCTGTCCTGAGTATACTGAACTATAACATGTACTATTTTTTCCATAATAAATTTGAAGTTGTAATTGTCAGTATATGCTTGTACAACTTTGAAATGCAAAAGCATTTTCAAATTGATGATTTACAATACTCTAGGGTGAGCAGATGTATGCTTTCACCGGGGACTCATTATGAAAAATGAATACTGCGTTAGAAACACTTAAGTCCTACATAATGCATCTTTCTAAGTGTTTCCATTTAAAAAGGCTGTGTCATATTTTTTTCTCACATAGTAAAATCCTTTATAAAAATACTTTTCTTTCAAACTGTGTCCTGTTTTAACGTTATTGTTTTAATGTCCGATTCTTTTACATGTTTTAATTTGTAAAAATTATTGCTTAAATGTTGGGATTTTGCATTTACATTTTTATGCATATGTCTTCCTCGTTGTAATGTCAGAATAGTAAATCGGCTGTCCTAGTTGTGCAATTTAGTAAGCAGCTGAGGTGAGCCTCAGGTACGCCGATAGTATATTTACAGATAATTATTTTGTTAATTGTTAGGAGCATGTGTTTAATGACTCTTTTTAAAGGGACACTGCACTGCCCAAATACAAAATAACAATGTAAAAGACATATATTTAGTAAATATACCACAACTGAAAAGATCTATGTCTTTAATTATATTTTTGTCCCCATTGGGGGATATCTTAAAACAGTTTACAAAAGCTGCAGATCTCTTGTCTGAAATCTTTGCAAGCCCTCCCCTTCTAACCCCGCCCAGCCTTTCTGTGGCTGTCCAATCACAGACTTCCCAATGCAACTCAATGCAAAGACTTTGCAAAGCAGGTGCTCTGGGCAATTGCTGCCTCTTGAGTTTAGCTCCACTGAGCTAACCAAACCAGGAAGTAACAGAACAAAATGTCTGGCTAACAGCCAGGGGTGTAACAAGGTTAATTAATAAAAGTGCCAATTTCTATTGAACTCTGCAAGATAGCTGGTTTGTAAAATAACTGAGCTCTTGTTTTGTCAGTGGTTTTTTAAGAGAGTTAACCTTCTAATATATGGTGTCAGAATAACTATGTCAGATCTGCTGAGTCCGAAGGCAAGGATGAGTTGAAGAGTCAAATGGTCTAATATTCAGAGCAGAGGGTCAGGATGAAGCATCCTGGAAAGGGACCGCAGAATAGATATTTCTGATTTGCAGAGTTTAACTGGAAAATCCCATTAGTAGTGTATATGGACAATGGAGCAGCAGTTGATGGACAGAGGCTGTTTTAACTAGACCAATGGTAGCCATTCTCCAGATGTTGTGGGCTACTTCTCCCTAAATTCTTTGACAGCATTATCGGTGTTAGAACATTCTGGAAAATGTAGTCCAAAACATCTGGAGTGCCAAAGGTTGCCTACCCCTGAAGATGGTTGGAATGGAGATATTAAAAAAAATCTGGAGTTTTAAAATGAAAACATTTACTCAGGAAAATTTAGTCCCAAGAGGGATCTGAGCTGAAGAGTCATACTGGAAAGAGGTACATTATAAACTAGAGCAGGGTTAGGCAACCTCCGGCACTCCATAATGCTATTCAAGCCAGAATGCCGACAAAGCATTAGGGGAGAGACAGTGTACAACATCTAGAGATAGAGAATCTGAAGATCTGATGTGAGGAGTTAGAATATAGATATATGAACCAGGGAGTCTAAATGGAGAAGTCAGAATAAAGAGATATATTATGGGCCACATGTTTGGAATGCGGTGACAGTGCCCTAGAGTGACTTACTTTCTGGACTAATATCAAATAACTTGTTGGTTAAGTTCTCTATAAACCCATTGACATTTTCCCCTGGACGTTTCTACTGATCCATCCACTTTATACTTTAACCAGAGCGGAAAACAATTTTATTTTCAAAATTTCCTTAGCTGCCAGGAAAACATTAGCTCAGGACTGGTGGAATGTGTCCCTACTGGCTAAAGCAGTGGCTATAGGAAAGATAAATTACAAAATGACAAGACGATGATTGGTATATTATCTGCAGTTGTCCATAGCTAATTTCCCAAAAACACGAGATCCATGGATTGGTTGCAACTTCCATAAAACACTTTTTAAAAAGTTCTAAAGAGGCATAGCATCCCCTCTACCACCATCTCCCTCTACCTCCTACCCCTTGTTTACTCTCCTTCATGTTTCCTTCATAGCATCTTCTTCTGTGCTTGGATTTCTTTCTTCGTTTTATGTTTAATTACTCTTTTGAAAAGGAATCAGTGGGTGTGCATATATATTTCACGGGTTGACCATGTAGTTCAGGACTCTTGTGTTTTATAGCATCGGTGTTGGATGCAATGTCCTGATCTTTTCTTCCTGTGTATGGCCACATATGTCTAAATAAAGAATTATGTATATTTATATAATATAACAAAAGCAGGAAACACTGGAGTCAGAAACTAATCATTTAAATACCAGAGCAGGAAAGTTGTGTAGGAAATTCAGACTCACAAGTAACACCAAGATGGGGTATCAGAATGGAACTTCAGAAACTGGAGTGTCGGAACACTATCTATCTATCTATCTATCTATCTATCTATCTATCTATCTATCTAATATCTATCTATCTTATATCTATCTATCTATCCATCCATCCATCCATCCATCCATCCATCCATCTATCTATCTATCTGTATCTATCTATCTATCTATCTATCTATCCATTTATCTATCTATCTATCTATCTATCTATCTATCTATCCATTTATCTATCTATCTCTCTATCTATCTATATATCTATCTATCTATGTATCTATTTCTACACACCTATCTAATAAAACTGTGCTTAGGATTTCTTTACTCCAATTTATGGCAAGATAGTGTGTGGAACTTTTTATATTTCTTAAACCGAAAATCCATTATTTTGCAACACCCAGAAAGAACAGTTTTAGTAAAAGGTTGAGAACATATTTATTAGTATCATATTCCCTTTTATTACATTTTCAGCCGTGAATAGGAAATCATGTCCCAACTCTCTGTGAACTTGGACGCAGTCCTGTATCTGACTGATAAGACATGTCTGTGACTGGTACAGACTGCACCATACGCTAAATGGGAAATAGTAGGTCGTATTTCCCAAGAATGACAATAATTAATAATAAATTCTACCTTGGAATGAGCTAATTTCCTAAGGTTTCTCTTTTTTAGAGATATAATGCAGGTTTGGAAGAAGGGTTAAAGTAAGCTGAGGTCAAACGTTTATCTTTATGGAAATTGTAAGCAAGCAGTACAACCCTGTACCATAAAAATAAGGGTCTGTTCAGGCCCCAAGAGAGAACGAGAGAGAGAACGAGAGAGAGAGAGAACGAGAGAGAGAGAGAGAGAACAGGAGAGAGAGAGAACGTGAGAGAGAGAGAAAAGGGCAAGAGAGAGAGAGAGAGAGAGAAAGAGAGAAAACAGGAGAGAGAGAAAGAGGGTACAAGAGAGAAAAAAAGGAGAGTGAGAATGCAAGAGAGAGAGGGCAAGAGAGAGAGAGAGGAAGGGAAATAATGAGAGAGAGACGCACACAATGAGAGAGGATCATGAGGCAGAAGAGCGTTAAGAGCAAAATAAAGAGAGAGTTGAAGTACAGAGGAAAATGTGAAAGAAAAAAAGAGAAGAATAGAAATATAATTTAGAGAGCAGAGACAGAGAGAGATTATTATTTGTCTTTTAATACATTTTATATATTAGTATTTAAGGTTTTATATGCTGTATATTTATATGTTGTGTAATATGATACGCACACACACATAAATTAATATCTCTAGGCTAATATTGCAGACGCAAACATATGGACTATTGCATTGTCTTCTAGTGCTTTTTAATTGGTGGAAAAGTATTTTGGCCCAAATGCTTTAGACTTGATAATGGGAGCAACGTCCTACGACGTCTCGTTCCGAAATGCCGTTAAATCACTAAAAAATGAACTAAGTGGGACTGAAAAACCAAAATAAGGCATGACATGTGACGATGTGTGTACGCACACACAAACATGAAACAAACTGGGTCCGTGTGTTTGTGTAAAGTAGCTCTAGCCAGCAGATGTACATGGTTGGAGATAGCCGGCTTACAGCTGCTGTCCGATCTGTGAGTGCGCAGGTTATCCATGGAGTATGAGTCACACTTCCAGGGTCTGCAGAGTGGGGGAGTTTTCATGTAGATTAAAGCTCCATCCACTGTAGAGGTCAAGAACTCGTCATCTTTACTCCCCAGGCCAAAACAAACTCACAATGATCTACTACTGCTTTCATTTTAAAGTTCCCGTCTCTTATCCTTTCATTTCCCTCCAAAACTCATTAATCCCGGTGCGTATTCCCGCCCAAAATACTGGCAAAATAGAAACGTAATTGTAATATCTGATTTCCCCTTTCCCCCTCCCCGAGTTATAATTATTAGCAATATATATTGAAAAAACTGTATTTAACCATTTCGTAACTTGTTTTTTTATTTATTTTTTTTTTTATTCAAACTATAGTATATTGTTTATTGGACATAAGAGGTGCATTATTGGATACAATAACAATTTTGTGTATACTTTACTTTAAACAAATAATTATATACAGTACATCTTTTACAGAAAATAAATATTGGAGGAATAACATGTTTAAGACGTAATTTATCCCGTATTTTTCAATAATTTTTAAATATTAAAACGGAAGCTGAATTAACATTTCTTAAATTTGCAATAGTTGTTACAAAATAAATAAATAAATAAATGTAAAAGTGGATTTTATACATGATAATATATCAGTGACATTTTACGGTAGCCAAAACTTGTAACAAACAGAGAGCTAATTTTATATTCTGCCAAGATTATGGGATATTTTAACATAAAGATCCAAAACCTCCAGCATTATAAACATTATTATGACAGAACCCTCATTTCATTGTTGTATTGATCACAAAGATTGACAATTACACCCTCAGTACTAGAAGTTGTTTATTTTATTGTCAGGAATTCATCTGTATCGTGTTGTTTTTTTTTTCCAAAGAAATGTAGTTAATAAATATAGGAAACATACATTCATTAAACGTAGTTGTAATAAAGCTCAGGACTGTGGCCTAGCTCCACAGATGGAGGCCCCAAATAACGAGATACTGCCTGATACCCACTGGGGGTGGTCGGACGAGGACTCCAGGTTGGGAACATATAAGGCGGATAGAAGATGGGGAATGCACTTGGGAAGCTCAGGCGTTTTTTCATTTAGTAAGAGCACAAGGGAGGCGTGAAATGGTCCAATATCACCCCTGTCTCCAATGTTGGGAGGTATGGAATCAAGAAAGGTGGGTGGAGCTTCAAGAGCGCACAGCCAGTGATGTAACATACTTAGCTGGCAACACCCATAATCGGCGCGAAAGTCTAGGTTGTCAGAAAGCACACCCATGAAGGGACATGTCAGCCAGGTGTCAAGCATGCCAGACTAACAAACAGCCTGTCCGACCGCCCCCCAACCTACAGGACCACACAGAGAGTGCTGTTGAAGTGCTCTCTGCATAGTCCTTGTGCCCACTGCACAGTACAAGCGCCTCTAGCAATGTACTCGAGCCATGCTGCCTCCATCAGGGGACACCAGTGAATTAACTGGGATGGCTGGATGGGACTCCAACTTTGGGACTGTCCCACCAAAAGCAGAACAGCTGGGGACAAGACTGAGAAATTCACTCCAATAAAACTACGAGAGGTAATATTTCCTGTTTCCGCACCATCTCTACTCATTCTGAGTACTTCATAAAGGTATACTCTTTATCAAATACACACATTGACTGTGTGGAAATTTTATTGAAATTCTAATGTAGTCAGAATATATTATAAGACTAAGTTAGGACTACTTCGTCTTTTAGTGAAACCCCAAGATGACAAAAGCCAGAGATGTAACACTCGAGTTTTGACAATTCCCACGTAAAATATCTCACACCTACTTATAATATCCCACGTATAATATCTCACACCTACTTATAATATCCCACATATAATATCTCACACCTTTTTATAATATCCCACGTATAATATCTCACACCTGCTTATAATATCACACGTACAATATCTTACACCTACTTATAATATCCTACGTATAATATCTCACAACTACATATAATAGCCCACGTACAATATCTCACACCTACATATATTATCTCACATATAATATCTCACACCTACTTATAATATCCCACATATAATATCTCACACCTACTTATAATATCCCATATATAATATCTCACACCTGCTTATAATATCCCACATATAATATCTTACACCTACTTATAATATCCCACACCTGCTTATAATATCCCATATATAATATCCCACACCTGCTTATAATATCAGACGTACAATATCTTACACCTACTTATAATATCCTACGTATAATTTCTCACACCTACTTATAATATCCAATGTATAATATCTCACAACTACATATAATAGCCCACGTACAATATCTCACACCTACATATAATATCTCACACCTACATATATCTCACATATAATATCTCACACCTACTTATAATATCCCATATATAATATCTCACACCTGCTTATAATATCCCACATATAATATCTTACACCTACTTATAATATCCCACACCTGCTTATAATATCAGACGTACAATATCTTACACCTACTTATAATATCCTACGTATATTATCTCACACCTACTTATAATATCCCACATACAATATCTCACACCTACTTATAATATCTCACACCTACTTATAATATCCCACGTATAATATCTCACACCTACATATAATATCTCACACCTGCTTATAATATCAGACGTACAATATCTTACACCTACATATAATATCTCACACCTACTTATAATATCCCACATACAATATCTCACACCTACATACAATATCTCACACCTACTTATAATATCCCACGTACAATATCTCACACCTACATATAATACCTCACACCTACTTATAATAGCCCACATATAATATCTCACACCTACATATAATATCTCACACCTACTTATAATATCCCACATATAATATCTCACACCTACATATAATATCTCACACCTACTTATAATATCCCACGTACAATATCTCATACCTACATATAATACCTCACACCTACTTATAATATCCCACATATAATATCTCACACCTACATATAATATCTCACACCTACTTATAATATCCCATTTATAATATCTCACACCTTCCATTCCGGAAAGGTGAGTAGATTAGTCTTCTACCAATGTTAGGAAATAGAGACTCTAGCTGCAATAAGCAAGTGACATGATGGGATTAATGGTAATGGATTTAATTGATATGTTGTTACATTTTATTAAATGTGAAGTTCCACGCTCACAGTATGGCATTTTATTGCCTATAATCACGTTACCTCCCCAAGCACAGCAAAGTATGCTGGCATTTGAAAAATAAAGACTTATAATTCAATGCAAATAATTTAAAATATATGAACCACTTTCTGTTTAGCTGGTATGAACTCCAAGAGTTTAGTCTGTCACTTGCATTTTCTATCTGCAATGATTTCATCAAGTCTAGAACATTTAATTGAAAAATAGGCATTTTTGGCATCTCGTAATCTCTTTGAAATATTATAAAGTATATCTTGTACCTTTTTGTGCTGAACTTTGATTCATGCCATATTGTTCCACTCCAACAGGATTTAACTGGGCTCTTGGCTGCATATTAAAAATGAAAGTTATCCTTGACTTTTTTTTGAATTTTATTATTATTAAGTGTTTTGAGCAGTACATACAGTACAATAACACATAGGGAAAGTGACACTTTTTTCAAGAGATATGCATAAAAGACAGAAATAGTACAGAATAGGATAAAAAAAGTAGTTTGAAAAATGTGACTGGTTTTAGTTTTCAAAACTCAAAGTTCTTTGCAAAATATTGCTTTCATAACCATGTCCAGATTTTTTCTTTATTTACTCTGTCTTGTGACTTTTGTGTTCAGTAATTTTCAATCACATGTTTGAGCTAAATATTCTAGAACGGCGTACCTGTATTTCATGTTTCTATTGCTGTGCGACAATACCTGGCCGCCATGCTGGGCGTGTCTTTCTTTGCCTGAAACAGACCAACCTGGTACTGAGGATTGCCTTTAAAAAAGATGACATTAAAAAAGTCAACTCAAATGAATTGCCGTCATTATAGGCGTTACAGATGAATGAATCTTAGATGTAAATTCACCCGCAATAGAATCTCTCCAAACCCTAACTCCAAATCTCCAAAACCCTAAACTCCTTCCAACACTAAACTCTACTTTTCATAAATACCTGTAATAATAATAATAATAACACTAATAATAAAAATATCTTTAGTGCTACAGAGTCCCTAGTCTGACGTTTTCTCATAATAATCCAATATTCTTACCCCACAAACCCCAGCCCCCCAAAATCCATCGCTACATCGTAATTAACTTTTCTGTGTTTTATATATTGATGTTCAAATTGAAAACTTGTGTTCTGACTGTCTTATTTTACATTGATATGGAATATGTCTGCTCAGTGACAGAGATAATAATCCTGTCTTTAAAGGGATATTATAGCTATTAAAATAATTTAGCTTAATGAAGCAGTTTTGATTTATAGATCATACCCCTGTAGTCTCACTGCTCAATTCTCTGCCATTTAGGAGTTAAATCAGTGGTGTAAATTCTGGTTTTGTGCTGCCCTAGGCATGACAAAACTCAGGCACCGCCACCCCCTCTTCTAAATTTCTCTTACCGACAGATACACACCCTCACTGATGCATCCACTGGCATACACTTTCTTACAGATACACAGTCATTGTCACACACACTCTTTAACCAATACACACTTTCATTGAAATGTACACATTCACAGACATACACACTCACTCACTCACTCATTCATAGTTACACACACACTCACATACACCGACAGACACACATATACACTAACTGACAGACACATACACACTCACTGACAAGACACCAATGCATACTCACTGACAGACGTACACTCACTCATTGTCATACACACACGCACACACATACACACTGGGACACACATATACTCATTGACAGATACACATACACACTCACTGACAGGCATATATACACTCAGTGTCAGACACATACATTCACTGACAGACACACACACACTAACAGACATACACATTCACTGACATACACACACTCTCAGTGACAGACACAGATACACACACTGACACACACATACACTGATAAACACACATACATACACACTGACAAACACATATACACTCTCAATGACAAACACACATTCACACTCACTGACAAACACATATACACTCTCAGTGACAGACACATATACTCTTTGGCCGACACACACACACACACACACACACACACACACACACACACATTCTAACAGGCACACACACACACACACACACTCTAACAGGTACACACCTTAACAGATACACACACTCTCAATAACAGACACTCTCACTGACACACACTAACATTCACTAACAGGCACACAGTCTGTTTAATTTAGAATTTCTTATCTCCTGCTCTGTTAATAGTCTTTTAGACTGTGAAGGAGCCTCTTGTGTTTGATTAAAGTTCAATTTACAGAACAGGAGATAAAATCTTCTACAGTAAGTTAGCATCTGATTGAAAATGAACCCATTTTTTATGCAGGCTGTGTCAGTGACAACCAACCATAAACAGAAACAAAGGTGATTTAACTCCTAAATGGCAGAAAATTGAGCAGTGAGTCTGCAGGGGCATCATCTATACACCAAAACATCGTCCTTAACTCCTTAAGGACCGCGGACGTACTAGGTATGTTCCACGAAACAACGGTCCTTAAGACGTCGATCGGGGTACGTTCGGGGCAAATATATTCCTTACCTGATTGCTGCTGTTCCCCCGATCGGTGTTGCTCCCGGTCTGGGGGGAAAAAACGATCACATGGCCGCAATAGGCATCCATAGTGCTGCCTACCAGGGCTGTCAGGCAGTTTCCCTGCTGCTGAAAAATAAAAAAAATATATACAGCTTGATTTTCAGTTTTTTCACATTGAAATTTGACAGATTGGTTATGTTGCCTTTAAGACTGAATGGTAGCCCAGGAATGAGAATTACCTCCATGATGGCATACCATTTGCAAAAGAAGACAACCCAAGGTATTGCAAATGGGGTATGTTCAGTCTTTTTTAGTAGCCACTTAGTCACAGACACTGGCCAAAGTTAGCATTCATAATTGTTTTTTGCATTTTTGACACACAAACAAATATAAATGCTAACTTTGGCCAGTGTTTGTGACTAAGTGGCTACTAAAAAAGACTGGACATGCCCCATATTGAATACCCTGGGTTGTCTACTTTAAAAAAAATATGTACACGTGAGGTGTGATTCAGAGATTTATGACAGATAACAGTGTTACAATGTCACTATTGATACATTTGAAAATATATTTTTGAAACAGCAATGTTCTACATTGTACTTATAGCCCTATAACTTGCAAAAAAAAGATAAGAACATGTTAAAGTTACACTATAGTCACCTAAATTACTTTAGCTAAATAAAGCAGTTTTAGTGTATAGATCATTCCCCTGCAATTTCACTGCTCAATTCACTGTCATTTAGGAGTTAAATCACTTTGTTTCTGTTTATGCAGCCCTAGCCACACCTCCCCTGGCTATGATTGACAGAGCCTGCATGAAAAAAAACTGGTTTCACTTTCAAACAGATGTAATTTACCTTAAATAATTGTATCTCAATCTCTAAATTGAACTTTAATCACATACAGGAGGCTCTTGCAGGGTCTAGCAAGCTATTAACATAGCAGGGGATAAGAAAATCTTAATTAAACAGAACTTGCAATAAAGAAAGCCTAAATAGGGCTCTCTTTACAGGAAGTGTTTATGGAAGGCTGTGCAAGTCACATGCAGGGAGGTGTGACTAGGGTTCATAAACAAAGGGATTTAACTCCTAAACGGCAGGGGATTGAGCAGTGAGGCTGCAGGGGCATGTTCTATACACCAAAACTGCGTCATTAAGCTAAAGTTGTTCAGGTGACTATAGTGTCCCTTTAACATTGGGTATTTTTAAACTCAGAACAAAATTTAGAAACTATTTAGCATGGGTGTTTTTTTTGCAGTTGTAGATGCGTAACAGATTTTGGGGGTCAAAGTTAGAAAAAGTGTGTTTCCTTAAGTTTTTTCATCATATTTTATAATTTTTTTTATAGTAAATGATATGATATGATGAAAATCTTGGTATCTTTAAAAAGACCATTAAATGGCGAGAAAAACTGTATATAATATGTATGAGTACAGTAAATGAGTAAGAGGAAAATTACAACTAAACACAAACACTGCAGAAATTTAAAAACAGCCCTGGTCCTTAACGGTAAGAAATTTGAAAAACGGTCTGGTCACTAGGGGGTTAAGCTAAAGTTGTTTTGATTTATGGTATCCCTTTAATCTCTGTGTTCTATATCTAATCTCTCTCTGTCTGTATTTTTACATTTTTCTCAGTACTTTATATAGCTCACAGGGTAAAGTTATACTGGATGAGTAAAGGTCCACGAAAACCTAGAAAATCCAGGGAAACTAATAATTAAGAGATAAAAAAGGGTTTCATAATCTAATATTAACGTGAATAACAAATGGATTCCGATAACAATATAAAAAGTGACATACAACTAGCAGAGCGAATGGATATGTCTATAGACTATTTCGGTATCTTCTAGTCAAAACAAGTTTGTGAAATGATCGTCTAGAACTTCTTGTTGTCACCAGTTTTTTGATATCAGAGATAATGTTGTCGAATTATAACTTCATGGGCGTGAAATGTTGGTGAAATTTGCTACATTAGCACAACCGAGTGAATGAATTTAACTGTATGGATCAGGAAGGGTTAATAGCGTTGCATCGCTATCTCTGTAGTGATTGGAATGAAAACTTCCTAATAGTTCAGGCCAGGCTGAGTATGCCACTGTCTCTCACTGCTCTCATACACACGCAAGCTTATTTATTAAACTGGGAATTGTCTGAAAGAAGAAATATTTTAGGCTGAAATAGCCAAGCTGCAAATTTTCTCCAACTCTGTTATTCCAGGTCAGCTAGTTTGGCCCACAGTTTGCACTTCTTTGGTCAATTACTGACCCCGTCCAGTTTAGTTGTCCTGGTCTAGATCATAGCTCCCAACTTCAGGGTCCTTTCAACCCAGAAGCTGGTGGGATGGTGGAAATCGAGGGTGGCCAGTAATGCAATCGCATCTTTAGTGATGGCAGAAGGGTGCAGTCCAATAAAAAAAGGACATGACCAGTGACTGTCAACGACCCCTCTCAGTATTACCTCTCCCGATCTGCATACCTCCCAATGTTGAGAAGAATCAAATGAGCTAACAATCTCAGAAGTGGCATAGAAAAGTAAAAAATACAGAAACTCCTGCCATTCTGCTAACGTTTTCAAACCCGTGTCTACGTTTAGCAGTTTGGTGCTTTGAGACTTAATATTCCAATTGTTTATTATGATTTAGTTACAGACAGTTGTAATATACGCCCCCACCCCCCACACTACTATCCCCCTAACAAAAATAAAATAAATCACACAATCATTTATTTTATTATTTTCCGATCTCATCGAAGATTGTTCCAGATCATTACTGGCCGAGTAGGAGCCCATTGCCTCTCACTTCCCCTTGAAATCACGTTATATAGTAAAACTGTCGTCACCTCTGCAATTCTGGATCTCTTCCTCTGTCAAATGCCCAGCGCATTCCAATACATTAACCCCCTCAGTGCTGCCATGCTCCATTGTATCACAAAACAAAGCATTGAGAAGATGTAATCAGTATTATTCATTTATCGGTTTGCTGAAGTTCATGTTACAGACATAAATGTCTTTTAGTTTTATTTTATTTTAACTTATTTGCTTCCAATATTATTATTATTTTTTTATAAACAGAGTAAATATTTATTGGAAATCTGTGTTCAAAGCTAGAATGTGAAAGGAATACTCCAAGGACCATAACCACTACAACTGTATCCCACTTGTTTTTGGTATTTTCCATAACCACTACAGCCAGTTTGGTACAAAGAGTACCCTGGCACCCTCTCAGAATAAGTATTAAAAGCATTTAGGAAAGGTTTGATAATTTAACCAGGGTCTGCCAGGTGCCCATCGCTACCTCCCCTGGAACGCTTGCAAGCTAATCCCTGCCATGCAAGGTAATGCCATGCCTTGCCAGGACCTACTTATTGGCTGAAAGTGTCACCCAATAAATGCAACCCTAAATCCCAGGTTTTGTTCAGTGCAGGAGCTTCTAGCTGTAGAGGACACCAAGAAATGTGTCAAATCATTCTTAAATACCAAGGGACTCCTAATACCATAACTACTACAGCCCACTGCAGTGGTTAAGCTTTCTGCAGAAGTGGATATGGTGCTTGGTGTTGCCTGGTGTGATCTGTTAACTTGGGATAAATTATTCTAATCAAGAAAATGTAAACTAAATTTACTAAATTCTAATTTTAATTTATTTGTTGAGTTGTGGAGGGATATTATTTTCCCCATTATATGGTATTCCTAATACTGCAACAATTTAGGCACGGTCTGAATCAGAATTAAGCATGTCAAAAGTAGATAAATAAAATTGGCTAAAGCAAGGTTTCTGTAGAATACATGCAACTAATGGATGATATTGCAGCTTGCATAAAAGCCCTGTAGTATGCCTAGATACCCATTCCAGCTGCCAGAATATTGTCAATATACTTTGAGCCATGTAAGTTTGTACATTAAGAGGGAGCTATGCAAAATTAATTGTCGCCTCTTTTTACACAGGGATGGGAGGATAAGGGTACTACCAAGGATATAATGAAATTGCTATCTAAGATTTTCACTGGTACTCTATTCATTAATGGAAAATAATAGGCAAATGAACTACTAGAAAATGAACCAAATTAACATATATGTCTCCCGGTGTACATGTCCAACAACTAAAAATGTTCTCTTGATCTACACAGTAATGGATAACCTCTGGCACTCCAGCTGTTATATACAATGTTTTTACTGATACTTGCCCATCCATTGTGTCTGAAAGGGTACTGGTGTCAGAAATTCTTTAGACACTCGACTAGATTATAGAACATAAAGAGGAACTGGTCTATTTTTTGGAAGAGCATCTACTGCACTTTTGGTAGGTCTATGCAACCATGCTCCTCGAACGCTCTGCATGTGGACATGTGAGGTCATAATGTTTCTGTTAGCATTACAGACCTTGTCCAAAATTTCTATCCACCTACTGTTTCCGTAAATATTAACTGACAAACTGATTAAACTGATAATTGATCAATTTAAATGTGTGTACGTTCATTTTCTTGGGTACCACGGAACCACAAAGCGTAAAAAATGCAGTTTTGTCCCAGTTTATTTTTATGTGTACATTGTTTTTCAATTAAAAATAAGCTAGTTATAATTGGATTAACTCAGAGAAATGTAGCTGAACCAAAACATTATCACATTTTGAGACACATTGCTCATTCGCAATATTTATTAACTCAATTCTACTCCCTGGAACTTTACTAAAATGTGCGTTGAACAATTTATTTTTATTTTATTATAAAGCAAACCGTTTTGAAGAAAAGCTGTTTTATAAATATGTTTTCATGCTTAAGAGGCAGTGTAAGGGTTAATAATATTTGTTGGCTGTGACTGTTTTATTTTTTTTGTGTGCATTTTTTTTTTTAGCAGCTTTTACAGCCTCAGTGAGGAACACAGTGAGATGTGATACATTAAGATTAATGGTAATCTGAAAAAAAAAATTACTTGTTGAAAAAAGTCCAGAATAACAAAAAAAAGAAAAAAAAAAGTAAAAAATGACGTGTCAGTTGAACTCATGTTAAAGAGAAACTCCTGCTGTAAATTTTCTTGGTTGGTATTTATAATAAAAAAAAGAAAAAAAATCACAGTCGTGAAGGTATTAATTACACCAACGTTACAGGAAGAATTTGTGGAATTGCTGAACGCAGTGGCACAGCCTAGTACGGAGTGATGGGGCGAACTGCAGGAGAGCAAGCTCGTTCTAAAAGAATATTAGGTTTATTGTGTTAGAATAATGCAATTCTAGACAAAACAATGATTTATTCGGCTATTATTTAGGGTCGGTAGAAGGTGGATTAAATTACTATTGTTTGGTTCCATATTAAGGTTGTAATTTTGTAAAGACAAATGACCCAAAAATGGATCCACCAAGGTCAAGAATTGACTGGGATATAAATCCAGATCAATAATTAATAAATAAATAAAAAGTAAAATTTGAGGCAAATGCTAATGTAAAATAAAATGAATAAATATAATGGGGTCCTTTTCACATTTTAATTGTTATTATTTATAAAGCGCCATCAAATTATTCTGCGCTGTACAATAAGTGGACTAACAACAATTGATACTAGAGTTGAGTGTTCAGTGATTTTTTTTAAGGGATTGGAGACTGGGTGAAAGTCTAATGGAGCGGGGAAGAGAGTTCCATAGGGAAGGTGCAGCCCTAGAGAAGTCTTGACGATGGACGTCGGAGGTGCGAGGACAGACGCAGGTCTTCGGCAGAGCGTAGGAACATGGGACATACTCGTGTATTAGTGAGGATAGGTAGGTAGGAGCAGTGCTATGACGAGATTTGTGAGGACCAGAGTTTGACATCGAATCCTATATCTTACGGGAAGCCATTGAAAAGACTGTCACAGGGGAAGGAGCGGGGGAGTACAGGAAGATAAGTCTGGCTGCAGCATTCGTTATTGGTATGGTCCCTCCAATTCCTTCGCACTACTAGTGGCAATATGAGGGTTAATAATAAGGGACGTTCTCGTTGGTCACCCACTCCATCTTCTAACATATATACAGGCCCACAGAGCGCCAAGGGAATCCACGAATAGTGACAAACATCTCGCCCGATAAATAGGCGGTAACAAACTAGAACTTTATAACACGTGGAAATAGTAAATGTTCTGGCAGAGGCACTTTAAAGACTATTTATATAAATGAGGAGATCTCTGATTGGAATTGGTTATTTTTTTATTATTTATTTAACATCTATCCATCAGGGATAGAACACCTTTAATTTAAGGGGCATGGTGGAGCTTTAATTATTCTACAACCCAATCCTCTTCTTGCTCTTTCTCTTTATCTATCTTTCTTTCTTTCGCTCTTTCCTTCTTTCTTTCTTTCTTTCTCTCCCTATTTCCTTTTTTCTTTCTCCCCTCTTTCTCCATCATTTCCCCTCTGTGTTCAGTTTTTCTTACTAGCTTTTCTTTGTTCTCCCTTTTTTGTTTTATTTGTATTCCCGTTTTCTTTTAAAGGACACACACTGTCTTCGGAGTTATTAAAGTGTTAACTTATTAAAATGCTGAATTAATGTTGAAATTAACTGTAAAATCACATATGATGTAAAATAAATGATCAACAGATGTTTATTCCATCTGGACAGCTGGAATAGCAGGTCATGTTTGTACAGTCACTTCCAGAGGTCCAAGCTGTCAATTACAACCGGAAACGAACGCTGTTAGCTGACCGTTCATCATAAAATATCTATCGTTAAAATTGGACGGGACGTCTGCATATCTGAACGCTAGTCATTTAAAAAAAATTAAATTATATAAAAAATAAAACTATATGTGCAGACAATTCAGGGCAAAGCCGTCCAGTGAGTTTGTCCTCTTCTCTCATTCATGTGATGCCAAAACATTTTTTTCATTACTACATTTTGTTTTTCAAAAACACCTAAAGATGGAAACTTTAAAAAAAAAATCTTTGTACCATAACCACTACAATACGTTGTACTTGTTGTGACCCTTTAAATAATATTTGATAAGCCTTTTTGTTATACAAAAACTTTTTTCCCTCAATTTGCTATTCTGTATGTAGTATTATTCATTTTTATATAATACATTTTTTTACCAATTGTACAGCTGTATTTGAATTCAATGTGTATTGCTAGGTACTAACTCGGAATATTTTGTAACAGTGACAATCTGTACCAAATGACATCACAGCTGGAATGCATGACTTGGAATCAGATGAACTTGGGATCTTCGCTAAAGAGGTAAAATACTTTGTATTACTCGACATTTTATGTCGAGTTCTATGTGAGTAAATGGCAATTCGTGGAATGTGGAGTAATCAACAGGAATCACCGGGTTATCTGCTAAAGTAAGAATTACATTGAATTACATTTAATATCAGAATCGCCATTGGAAACATAGCTGAGTAGAGAATTTGTCTAGTTTGATTGTTTTGAACTTAAATTTACATTTCACTTGGAATTCACCATTAATTCTCACATTCGTAAATAACCCTGTAAGTGTGGTGATCTCTTCACATTAGAGCTTTGATCCCAAATTATGCGTATACCTTGTATATCCTGTATACCCTGTATATCCTGTATATCCTGTATACCCTGTATTACCCTGTATACCCTGTATTCCCTGTGTACCCTGTGTACCCTGTATTACCCTGTATACCCTGTGTACCCTGTGTACCCTGTATTACCTTGTATACCCAGTATACTCTGTATTACCCTGTATTACCCTGTATGCCCTGTGTACGCTGTATACCCTGTATTACCCTGTATACCCAGTATACCCTGTATTCCCTGTATACCCAGTATACTCTGTATTACCCTGTATACCCTGTATTACCCCGTATACCCTGTGTACCCTGTGTATATCTGTGTACCCTGTATTATCCTGTATATACCCTGTATACCCTGTATATACCCTGTATTACCCTGTATACCCTGTGTACCCTGTATTACCTTGTATACCCAGTATACTCTGTATTACCCAGTATACCCTGTATTACCCTGTATACCCAGTATACTCTGTTTTACCCTGTATACCCTGTATACCCTGTATTCCATGTATACCCTGTATTACCCTGTATACCCTGTGTACCCTGTATTACCCTTTATATACCCTGTATACCCTGTATTACCCTGTATTACCCTTTATATACTCTGTATACCCTGTATTACCCTGTGTACCCAGTTTACTCTGTCTTACCCTGTATAACCTGTATACCCTGTATTCCCTGTATACCCAGTAAACGCTGTATTACCCTGTATTACCCTGTATACCCTGTATTACCCTGCATACCCTGTGTACCCTGTATACCCTGTGTACCCTGTATTACCTTATATACCCTGTATACGCATAAGGCAAATGATAAGGAAGAAAAAAGAGCAACTGTTGCTTTGCCACTCGATCCTTCTAGCTGAGCAGATCATTAAAAACATTATTTACTACAGTGAGAATTGTTAGGAATTCAAAGTGGATTCAAAGTGAATTTTATACTCAAAATAACTGAATTGGAAAAATTCTTGCATTTGGCTATTTTGGTCTGAAATTTGCAATTCTTGCATATTAAACCACAGAATTGTCTGACTACAATTTAGAGTGAACATTTATATGATTTTATATGTCATGCTTCTAGAAACGTGCTTGTGAAGTAAAGTATTTACAAGTTTGATCTAAAACTGTTATTTAATAAGTAAAACGTTCCAGATATGTGACAGATGAATTATCCTGCAGGTGTATTGGCTTTTAACAGAAATTGGATTCTTAGATAATTTCTTTGAGATTCTTTGAGGTTCCAGCATTAAGTCTGGATCTTAGAGGTGTATTTTTTCAAAGTAACATGACAAGTGTGTCACAACATAAATTATTTTGTTCTAAGAATTTGAGGATTATTTCCTAAAAGTCTAAATTTCCCACATATAATGGCGTCGTCAGAAGAAATAACCACGACATGCCTCATTCAGTGCCATTCTGCTTTGATGGTGAATCAACTGAATTTCAACGAGAATTATTAATTAATTTATCATGAGTTTGTCAAGTTGGGGCAGAATTAGTGAGTTCAATCAAACACCCTTTGATGGATCAAATTTAAATCACAGATAAACTAAAAAGATGAGTAGGCCGGCTCACTGTGATATAGGGACATAAAATTGCAAATATTTGGAAAGCAGAATGATCCCGTATTTCACCCCATGTGCAGCGAGCGAGAATTCATTTTATATGTGGATTCCACCTCTTTCTTCCTTCATTTCACAATTGAAAGCAAACATATTGGCATTTCAGTTCATCTTAATGGCCTTAGCATCCGATTGCCTTATAAGAATTCACTTTAAAGTCAATGACTAACTGAATGAAGCAATTCGATTGACTTGGGACAGCCTATTATAAAAACTGAGTATAAGCATTTTTATCTCCATGTATTTTGTAGTATAAAATCGTGTCCATAAAACCTCACTAACCTTCATTTATTCTCTAGTTATGATTACCTGCCTGTAGAAGAACGGTTTCTCTGCCAGACGCTACTAGTTACTGATATAATGCATGTAATGTTGCTGAAAACATCAGCACACCCTCTACTTTCGAACAGTGCAGGAAGTGTCACTGGGTTATATTATGCTCACAATCAGGGAGGTGGGTGACATACTTTATGTCTAAAGAGCGTGTCTTCTTGTTTTTTCATTTTTCAAAAAGTACAGATTTAAATAAAAATATACACTCTTTAACCTTGTTTCACCCTCCCTTCCTCTGGCTTTTAATCAGACAGACTGTCCTGTTACTTCCTGGTTTGGTTAGCTCAGTGAAGCTAAATTTAAGAGGCAGCAATTGCCCACAGCACCTGCCTTGCAAACACTTCTCATTGAGCTGCTTTGGGAAGTCTGTGATTGGACAACCATAAAAAGTCAGGGTGGGGTTAGAAGGGGAGGGCTTGCAAAGTCTGCAGCCAAAAGATCTGCAGCTTTTGCATACTGCGTTTAGAAATACCCCCAATATAAAAATGCATAATTAAATGCAAGCATGTTTCATTGTGGGTATATCTCTCAACAGTATTTATTTTGTATTTGAGCAGCAGAGGGTCCTTTCATTTTTTACTTTTTAATTTAAATGAATTCGTATTTTTCACAAATTGCACTGAGTAGAGAAGAACGCTATACATTTAAAGGATAGATACAACTACTTGTTGGATGGCTTTTTCTTCAGTGCAATTTTACAAAAAGCTTCCGATTAGTGTACGTGTGACATGTAACACATTTGGTTTTAAGGGCATCTGAATTGATTGCTTGCTGTTTCTATGCAAATAAATTTTGATATAGTCTGGAGGCAGGTGGTCTTTGATTAATTATCGTCTTTTCTCCCAAGAAATGTCTTGTCCCTGCATATACCGATGGGAATGGGTGGGATCTCTATTTTTATCATGGGGATTTGACTTGACCTTAGTTAACAACAAGTTATGACACATTTAGAGCCAGGGTCCACCGTGGGTCTTCTAGAGACTGTGTATAGGTTTAGCAATAAAGGCACCAATGTAAGATAAGACATTAGGGTCCCCCTGGCCTACTGTTTAAGCACTACAGTTTAATTTAAGAGTTTAGCACACCCTCATCCAATAGCTCAGACATGCTATTAACCCCTGTAATAGTGAATGAAAGAAAAGAACATGTGATCAACTCCCCTACTTATGGAGGGTTTTTCCCTCCCCCCCCCCCGACCTTTAGATATTATTAACTTCCTTCACAGCACAAAATAAGCCATGGTTCCTATCTGGTCTTTGGGTAAATTAGCCCCTATTCAGTAAATACAAATGTATTAAAATGCAAAACACTGTATTACAAATTATAGGGGATATAGAAAGGAGCAGGGGGCGGCCACATGTTCTACAAGCAGAACATATTTTATTCTGCTATACTCTATCTATCTATTTATCTATCTATCTCTTTATCTATCTATCAATCTATCTATCTGTCATCTATCTATCTATCTATCTAGCTCTCTATCTATCGATCTATCTATCTATCTATCTATCTATCTATCAATCTATCTATCTATCTGTCTATCTATCTATCTAGCTCTCTATCTATCGATCTATCTATCTATCAATCTATCTATCAATCTATCTATCTGTCTATCTGTCTATCTATCTATCTATCTATCTAGCTCTCTATCTATCGATCTATCTATCTATCTATCTATCAATCTATCTGTCTATCTATCTATCTATCTATCTATCTATCAATCTATCTATCTGTCATCTATCTATCTATCTATCTATCTATCAATCTATCTATCTGTCATCTATCTATTTATCTATCTAGCTCTCTTTCTATCTATCTATCTATCTATCTATCTATCTCTTTATCTATCTATCTATCTATCTATCTATCTATCTATCTATCTGTCTCTATATCTATCTATCTGTCATCTATTTATCTTTCTGTCTATCTATCTTTCTGTCTATCTCTCTGTCTGTCTATCTGTCTATCCAACTATCTATCTTTTTGTAAATGATGTTTTTATTAAGGTTTTTTTTACACAATAATACGGCATACTTTGATACAGTTGAAACAGTGCATGAATAATAATCAGATATATAATGTGAAAATGTTAAAGTACCACTATAGTGCCAGGAAAACATACTCGTTTTCCTGGCACTATAGTGCCCTGAGGGTGCCCCCACCCTCAGGGACCCCCTCCCGCCCGGCTCTGGAAGGGGGAAAAGGGTTAAAAACTTACCTTTTTCCAGCGCTGGGCGGGGAGCTCTCCTCCTTCTCTCCTCCTCCGTTCCTCCTCCTGGGCTGAATGCGCACGCGCGGCAAGAGCTGCGCGCGCATTCAGCCCGTCGCATAGGAAAGCATTTACAATGTTTTCCTATGGACGCTTGCGTGCTCTCACTGTGAAAATCACAGTGAGAAGCACGCAAGCGCCTCTAGTGGCTGTCAATGAGACAGCCACTAGAGGATTAGGGGGAAGGCTTAACCCATTCATAATTATAGCAGTTTCTCTGAAACTGCTATGTTTATAAAAAAATGGGTTAACCCTAGAAGGACCAGGCACTCAGACCACTTCATTAAGCTGAAGTGGTCTGGGTGCCTAGAGTGGTCCTTTAAATGTTAAATATATGTGGCATATGTCTTTAGCAAATGCTCATTATATTAACGGCAGTGAAGGAGAACCCAGAAAAGAAAAGACAAGATGGATAAATGTGAAAAGACAAGAACAAATAGAGTTAGGCCCAGGGGATATGGAGTATATACGTGACCTAATGGGGAAGCATTTCCATTCAACAAGACTTGGAAAGATTCTGAGGTTGAGGTGACTATCCGTGAGTCCAGAGAACTCTGCTTTGGATGGCCAAGCTATAGGTAGACAGATTTGCCAGCAGGCCATATTTGATTGGCTACTTTATTGATTTATTTGTTTTGGGACGCTTTTAGAAATTGTCTGCCAATGCAGTTCCTTAGCCATTCACCCCAAGTAATGAACAATATGGGTCAATTTTGGGATAATAGAGTTCAACTGATGATAAATAGAGTAAAATTAAAGGGACACTCTGGGCACCAAATGTGATATAGCTTGGACTTCATAAGCTAAAGTGATTTAACTCGTGATGTTTCGACTAATTGGTAGAGAATTGAGCAATTTAACTGCAGTGGCATGATCTATACATCAAAACCAATTTGTTAGGGTAAAGTTGCGACATACCTGCATAACGACGGCTTGGACTTACAACCAGCTCTCCAACTTCAGGGATTCGAGGGATTCCCCATGTTAGAGAGCTGGTCTATGTTTGGGCAATTTCCTCCAAACATAAATTAAAGGGATTCCCTATGCTAGTGAGCTGGTCTATGTTTTGGGGAATTTCCTCCAAACATAAATTAAAGGGATTCCCTATGCTAGTGAGCTGGTCTATGTTTTGGGGAATTCCTCTGAACATAGTCATACTCACTAGCGCATCCTCACTTACTGACCAATTTGATTTGCGACTGAGTCGTAAGAAAGGTACCCGATCTGTACGTGAGGATCACCTACAATACAATTTTACAATTTTTTTTTTATTCTTTTAATTTATGATTAAACTGTTCACCTCCCAAGTGACCTTCTTACATGGCAACGTCCTAAGTCCATCAGTGTAAAGCCTGTGCCGCTAAGTGTGAAGTCCCTGTGGCTCCAAATTTTTGTATTATACATTACCCCTCTCACATGGGGCTGTTCGCCTATCTACCCCTTCTTTCCAGTCTGATGTCTCTGTTTTATAGGAATCCAAAGTGTATAAAATACCTGACACCCCATAGTATGCAGTGTGTAAAGGTGTATCCCACATCTACACATTCCCAATGCGGCACTAAAATTCACAGTAATGTTAGGAATATATAACTGTGTCACAGTCTGCATGTATATTAAATATACATAGTCTTAATTACTGGTTCCTAAGCAAGATGTTCCTGCTTCTCTAAATGTGATTCCATATATTGAATGGTTATTCACTAAAGCGAGAATTGCCGGGAATTAAATTAAATGAACAATTAATTAAATAGCGCCAACATATCCCAAACGAGCGAAAATGTAACATTTTAAATTAAGGTAACAATTAGCAGAATTGGAAACATAGCTGACTTGGAGAATTAAGTGAATAATGCAAAACATTAATTGAACTTGTTTTAGAAGTGCGCAAATTTGATCCCTATAAAGCAGTAGACAACATGATGTCATATATTCACAGTTAGGGTCATAATAGGAAATGACCTCACTTAGCAACCTCTGATAAATTCTTCCCACTAGGGTATCCAAAAATGGAACTTATCAACGTATTAATATGGGGGCAGTGGAGCTTATATACTTCAACCTTGACCAGAATCAAGACTAAGTGTAAAGATGAAAATGTGAAGGTATTATCTGGAGATAATTTCTAGAAAAAGAAAAATTTTAATAAACTATTCTATGAGAAGAGAATGAAATAAACTTTCATGTTGCACGTCCAAAAGTTCACAGACTGTGTGAAACAAAGAATTTGACTTGATCATACTTTCAGGATAAAGAATGAAAATTTACACAAATGATCTATAGTATTTAAAAAAAGAATGCAGGGAAACGAGATGAAAGGTTTTGTGTTTTTTAAAGGCTAAAGTTGCAGAATCTGTGGAAAATCAACTGTAGACATAGCCTCATCTTTGAGACGTAGAGCCAAAATATTTATCTGTCTTACTTGGCTTGGAGTTACGAAGCGAAGTTCAGTATTTGTGATATCAATGGTCATAAACATAAGCTTTCCTCTTACTTATTCCAAAAGATTTTCATCTGTAAAATATATGGACTGTTCAGAAAATAATTCTTTAGAATTTAGTTTTTTTTACTCTTTAGAAACAAGCAGGGATTCTGTGCAAGAGAATGAGCAAAATTCATATATGTAGAAAAATGATATTCAGGGGTCATGTGTAAGTTATAATAATATAGATTTAAAGGAATACTGCAGTAATATGGATAGAACAATTTATATATAACCTTGTGGGTTATCGGGTTAATCTTGGATTGATTTGTCCGGATATGTATTAAAAGGCAATTAAATCAGACAGATTATTGAACAAGTCTAATAAAAAGTGAACTTTCTTCTAATTCAGCAGAGAGGGTCTCCTCTCCCAGCTCCACTGTACCCCTAATAGATCAACAGGACTGATGATATTCCAGCCAAATGCTTTATACAGAGAAAAACTGGCAGGCAGGATTCATATGAAGCAATCGCCACACTTTATGGTAGTGTCAATTCCTCTTGAAATCTAGATTTTAATTAATTGTGAAAGGACACTCCGTTTACCCTTAAAGCACTTTAGCTAGCCGTACTACACACTTCAGTATTACATACTTTTATATATTACATGAGCATTTAAATTAGGGTTAGAGCTAGGCTAGAATTAGGGTAGGGTTCCCTTAATCTTATGGTAGAACCAGGATGCACATGTCCCAGTTTGCCCAGGATTAATGGGTGTTATACACATAGGCAGTCGTTGATACATGTGGCTGCTATCCTTAAAGGGACATGCATCGCCTGGAGACAACTGTCTCGTTCAAACACTTTTGCTTTGAATGAGAGAGTTGCCTAACGCTGCAAACTGTAAATATGATTTTTTCCCCATATTTACCTGCATCATCCTTATGCCTTCAACACTCTACGGAGGACACAGGTTTAAAAATTCGGTGACCTATCCCTAGGAATGATGGAAAGTGTATTGAGTGTGCCTGATAGATTTGCGCATGGGCATTTGGAAGATCTCTTCACCTTGCAACAATATGAGAGGAAGAAGAGAGGTAGGCCAATCAGTGTGATTCATGCAGAGCAGGCTCCGGTGTGAGGTTTCTCTCTCCTGCTGCTGCCCAATGAAGCCCTGATTCTGTAATTAGTGGCCTGGTCTGAAACTGAGCTGACTATGCAAGAGAGGGAGGGGAGGGGCATGCTAAAGAAACTCCCCGAGCTCAGAGGTGTGCCCAGCAATACAATCTGACTAAGTTTATAGGCATTTATTACATAGTTTTCTTTATGTTATATTTGTTTAAAAGTGATGCTTATCCCTTTAGTTTAACAGCTCTCACCTTACTAAACTGCTGTGTGGAGAGTTTGGGAGGGAGAATGGTACAGTCTCTGTCCCCTAGATTTTTACCAGCATTTCCGTTTTAGCAGAGCAATTGAATTAACAGCGGTAGATACAATTAGCACTGCAACTCTCATCATTCTTGTACTGGCTGGGATATGGATGTCCTGCCTGAGATCAATGGCCTTACCCCGCATTGTGTCTGTCTGATCGTGCATTGTTGTTTATTTTTTAATTTTATACGATAAGAGATATTATATGATTTTAAAACATTATCTGCATTGTACAAATTAAATATCAGGCATATCATGTCATATAAGGTCCTTAGAACCCCCCAACAGAGCACATTATATAACTACAATGTATTTCTCCCAGTTGTTTCGAATACATTTTGTCATTATCTTGTTTCCTGCAGGATTTTGACAAAGCTTTGCAGTATTATTTGAATACTTTTGGTACAAGGACAAGATTTGAAACATTACTGTGGGAAATCACACACTCAGTGTAACAAGGCAAAATGTTCAAATGACCACTTCCAAAATTTGATAAACGCAGCTTTACAAAGCTACCCTGTGAAGACATGTCCAGGGTCCCTGAAAAAACCTAAAGCTGGAGGCCCACTATTGCTGTGATCAGTTTCGCGGTTGTTTTTTTGCTGTTGTTTTTTTTTAAATTCTTTATTTTTGCAGTGCAGTGTTATGGGTACACGTTGAGCAAGACATGAAAACAAGGGTTTTACATAGACATTAGGAGTATCAGGTCATTTCTGCAATGCTGCACTTTCTTTCTTGTTAGGTACATAAGGAAACAAATATTATTAAACAGAAGCAAGAACGTGGCAGTAGGGGCAAAGATTAAAGACTGCAGATATATGCATAAAGACTTGCTATTGATAAGCACAATTTCCCAGGACAACAGGGTCAGATTTGGAGCATGAACTTGATCAGTCAATGCCTTTCAAGCTCCAAACAAAGTCCCTCTGAGTAATAGGCAGCAGGGAATCTCAGTGAGTGATAGGCGCCATGCAGCAGGTAGACGTTGGTAGAGTATGGCACTTCTTGAGGGTCGGGACTTCTCATAATAATGGTCAGCTGCTGGTACAGTAGTCTGACATCTTGGCTTCCCCATATGGTATGGCAGACGGACTGTCTGTCCGTTTGCGAATCCTGCCTCGATGTTACCCACTCCATGGAAGACTGTCGGTGACCTATATCCTGCGGCCACTGTCATCCGCCAGACCCCCGACTCTCACAGGTGGAAATTCAGTTTAGGCATGGTCCGTTGATGCGGAGACAGGCATTCTCATGTAGAGCTTGGCCCAAAAGGCTGCAAATATCTTGTGTAAGTTGGTCAGAGTAGCTAGACCACATGAGGTCGACAGGCCCCCCCGAGCAGAGCATGGTGTCCACCATCTTGGACAGGATGGAGTCCAATAGATAGACCCCTGAGAAGTTTTGAAGATCAATACATATGCGTTGAGTGTACTGCCTGTGCCGGAATATCCCTCAACAGCAGGGGGGGATAGAAGATTATCTATGGCTCCGGTTCAAGGGGACAGTGGATGGAGAGATCGTCCGCCTCTCCCACGCCCACGCCACCATGTAGGTTGCAAAAACGAATCAGCTGCCACAGCTACACCGAGACAGTCCATAACCCACAGGTTCCGCTCCCTGGATGTCGCCAAGGGATGCAGCGATTAGTGAGCCCGAGCAGTCTGGGAAATTAACAGAGTAAAGAACAGAGTAAAATTCTGCTTTTGGACCGGGGCTCTGGGTTGATGTGACTGCTCGATTTGGTGGTCAAGCTCTGCCCCTTCAGGGTTGTTTTTGTGCTAAAATGCTTTTGTGGCTGAAAATCAGAGCAACTTTGTAACCCGCTTAAAATATGTATGGTATCTAAAAGTAGGAAAATTTCTTGTTTTGTACAAAGTTGTCGAAGAACAAATGACAGATAATGGAAAAAAACAAGGTACGAAATAAAGGAACAGCGTTGGTTAGTAATTCATGAACTATCTGCTACTTTTGAGCATTCCTTCTTAAAGGGACATTATTATCTCAATGGAGTGGTCAGCCTGCCATGTCCCTCTCGGTTTAACCCTGCAATGTAAAACATTGCGTTCTGCAGGCAAAGTTTAAATGCACTTCCATCCAAATAGCCGAATGGAACTCTGCAATTTTAATCAGATTGTCTTATAGACCATCTAATTAACGTAGCGCAGCATTTTGCAGCCCATGTGCACCAGACTCCCAATATTTCCTATGGGAAAGCATTGACCTGGCTGAGATTATCAAGATCTCAGCCAGGGTGGCAGGACCTGCCATTAATAAAGCAGTTAAGTGTAAGATAAATGGGTAAGCAAACTACCTTTTGTGGAGGGGGGTCACCTAAACAGTGACTAGGACACTATAGCATGGAATACACAATTATGTTATAAGGCAAATTTTTTCCCAGTATTATAAAAAGAAAAAAACAATTCGGATTATTACTCTTAATGCAAAAGGCACTATGCTGTTTTAAAAACCTTTGTTCTGCACCTATTTTATTTTCCTGCATATCTACAAACATTTGTCCACAATCTGGGATGGGTTAGGAGTCTATGTACAAGGGCTGTGCTAGTGACATGCTATATTTGTGCTGAACCTATGGATAATTTCCCCAAGAAGTGAGGATGGGTTCCTGGAGTCCAAAACACACTGTTGCGCTATATCTGGCGCCCATGGCACGTATGTTACTATTTGAATCTATTTACAGAATTAGGGAAAAGTTACTAAAGTTACTCTCTTGGCATGTTATATTACGCCACACACTCTGATTATGCCATTAAGTCTCAGGAAGGTTGACAAAGACAAATTGCTCATTCTGTGAAGTGTTTCACTTTCGGCTCATCTGCTTATCTTAAATCACAATCAGAATTGACTATATCAGCCAATACAGTGCTTTCCCATAGGAACGCCGCGCTGGCCAATCAGCATCTCCTCATAGAGATGCATTGGATCAATGTTGTGCAGCAATGACCCAGGAAGCACCTCTAGTAACCATCTGAGTAACTGTCACTGGAGGTGTCCCTAGGGAGTAATGTAAACACTGCCTTTTCAATAGCCAGTGATAGGCTAATGCTCCCAGCTAACTTTACTATGGCATCCTTTATCTTGCAAAACTTCAGACAGGTTGAAATAAATAAGCCAGTATAGACAGAGTGAGCATTTAAGTGCAAACCTAAACTAATAGTAAATATATTTTTAAATATCATATATCTGTAATATATATGTTGGTATTTTGGGGAGTGCAGACTCCCAAGAAGCCATACTAATAACTGTACAACTTTATATGGACATATTATTCA